CCGAGGCGGCGGTGGCGGTCGCAGAGCGTTCCCTGCACATGTGCAGGGGACGCTCTGTGAGTTTCGGGGGGATTTAAACACCCCCCGATGTTTTTTTCCAAATTTAGGATTTTTGTGCACACGTGGGGACCGCCCCACGTGCGCACAAACCTCTCCCTCCCCCCCAGGTCCCCCCGATGTGCGGATTTGAGTATCCGCACACCAGGGGGCGACTTGAGAATTAGATATATAGATGCATGGGATAGAGCAGACAGAGAAAGAGGTATTTTTCTCCCTTTCTCACAATACAAGAACTCGTGGGCACTCAATGAAATTGCTGAGTGGTCAGGTTAGAACAGATAAAAGGAAGTACTTCTTCACCCAAAGAGTGATTAACACATGGAATTCACTGCCAGAGGCGGCAGTGTCTACAAGCATGGACAGCTTCAAGAGGGGATTGGATAAACATATGGAGCTAGGCTTGCCAAGTCCCTCCGGCGGGCAGGGAAACCCCCGCCCGAGAAGCCCATTATCCGCCGCTGGCGGATCGGGCCCTGGGGGGAACCCCACCCCCAAAGCATGCGACATGCACGATGTCAGCACGTCACCCGGAAGTCACGCAATTACGTCGGGCACGTTGGGGGCGGGGCCACAATAATCCAAGGGTTTTCTATGGTTTTCCCTTGGATTATTGTGGCCCCACCCCTAACGTGCCTAACGTGATTGCATCACTTCCGGGTGATGTAATTGCGGCACGTGCACATGGACTCCCGGACCAGTGCTGGACTCCCCCGCTCTTCATAAGGTAAGGACTTGGCAACCCTATATGGAGCAGAGGTCCATTGGTGGCTATTAGCCAAAAGGTATAGATAGGGACTCTGGGGCAAGTGATGCTCTGTATTCTTGTTGCTTGGGTGGGTGGGGGTCAACAGTGGGAGGGCTTCTAGTGTCCTGGCCCCACTGCTGGACCTCCTGATGGCACCTGGTATTTTTGGCCACTGTGTGACAGAGTGTTGGACTGGATGGGCCATTGGCCTGATCCAACATTGGCGTCTCTTATGTTCTTAAGACCTGCTGGTTGTCCCCAGCCCAAGGGATGTCTGCTTAGCCTCAACCAGGGCCAGCGCCTTTTCTGCCCTGGCCCCAGCCTAGTGGAACATGCTTCCATCTGAGATCAGGGCCCTGTGGGACTTATTAACATTCCACAGGGCCTGTAAAACGGAGCTGTTCCACCAGGCCTTTAGTTGAGCTGGCAGGCGTCCAACAACTCTTACCCCCCCCCTTTGAAGTTTACCATCTCTATGTGGCCCAGATTAAAAAGAAGAAAATGGCACCAGCTTGAAATCTATGCGTACAAATAATGCAACCTGTTTTAATATATGTTGTTTTATACTGTTTTAACTGTTTTTATATTTAATAATGTATTGTAATTTTATGATGTCTTGATTTGCTCTGTGTGATCTGCCCTGAGCCTGCTTGTGGGCAGGGTGGAATATAAATTGAAACAAACAAACAAAGGCCTCTATTCTCTTAGCCGCAACAAACAAATAATGCTGTAAATAAGCATCACCAAACTTCCTATCTATTGCTCAGGCACTGGGATGATCTCTGGCCCATATTTCACAAGCTTCCCACCCTAATAATAGCCACGTGTGTGTGTGGCAGGGGGGGGGGGAGAGGAAAGACAGGAAAGTGTTCAGGCAAGCAGATACTAGCCCATTAATCCACTAGGAAATGGGACACCGTGCAAGACAGAGAGGCCTCTATGGCGATTTCCCATTTCCCAATTAAAGGGCTATCCGGCGGCAGACAAGGGAGCAGGAGCAGGAGCTTCTTTGGGCTGTGCCAGCACTGGATTCTTCAGTTTTAGAGGTTGAACCTCCCTTGGCAAGGTTGCTCAACTGGTTGAGAAGGGCCTCTCCAGAGGCTTTCAGACCTCCCAAGCAGTTTGACTGGGGAGAGTACCCCCTTAAAAAGCTAGCTCGCTACATATTAGCTGTGTGCTGCAAAAGATACTGTGATTCTTCACTATTCCTACATCAGGGCTCAGGGGTGGAACAGCAAAGTGCACATCTGTAGAGGGGCAGGGCTGCCAAATTTTGTGGCCATTTTACGATTGGCAAAAGAGGCAATACACACAATTGTGCCCAGAATACTGTTCTATGAGACAAACACTGACACAGTTACCACCACGGTATCTGTTAAAGCACGGCAGTGACGGATTTGCCTTTAGATGGCTACCCAGCTAAATGCATAAAAATGAGTACCTTGGAATTTAGAAATATTTTGTGCAGGGCATAGAAAGGACAGATTAATTTTAAATTCAGTTATCATGGCAGGGTTTTTTTTGTGTGCCAACTTTGTAACCAATCTCCAAGAAGCTTCCTTGTCGTTCCTAAGAGGCACAGATGGCCCCGGGCTGCCTACTGGAACTGCCAGAATTTGGATGAACAAGTTTCTATTTACCCTCGAGTGACAATCCTGCCAGATACAATAGTAACAAATGCACACATACAACTACTTCCTGAGCACTCTTTTGCCACAACTTGAATTAATGTGCTGGTGACAAATCAAAGAGCTGGGTAGTTCTTTCTGGAAGGCTGTCCATTCTAAATGCGGATCAAGTCTGAAATCTTGCTTTGAAATTAATTAACAATGGCACCAGAGGAAGAAATTAGGTTGATGCCTCAACTGAAGCATTCTTTACTCTGTATGGAAGTTTACTTGCAAAGAAGGAGTGTACAAGTCTCTTCTTTGAGATAAGAATCAGTGATAGACACTTTCAGGGCCAAAGTTCCTGCCCATCTTTTTCTTCAGTGAGCTTCATGAATACTTTAATTTTCCTACCAATGGATCATAAAAAAACAACCATTCTCTGACTGGCTTTTGACAACACTCGCTCCTGACAATAATGATTGTAAAATTTTGGACAATAAAAAATTGCTTCAGAAAGCAAGCCAGATCCCAGATCACGGCTGAAAGGCATGTGAATCAGGCAATCTTGCTGAAGCTCAGTAGGTTGGAAAAGGGCTAATGCCTGGATGGGAGACCCCATGGGAACCCCACATCCCCCCCCAGTGGAACTCAACAGGGCAAAACACTGGTTATAAATAAAATAAATAGTGCCTTCTAGTTGATCTACTCAGTTTATTTCAACACTGGAGAACTCTTAAAAGAAAAGGGCAGGTTACCTCTTCCTGGCCCTTGTGGAATACCCAGCCTTTCCCCTTTTCTTTCCTAAAAGCGTTCAGCTTCAATATATTGACTTAAGGTCGACCATATGCTTCCCCGAGAGGACCGGATATTAAAAACTGTTTTAAAACCCAGAAATCTCACGGTCATTTCTGTCAGCGACCAACATATGTATCTGCATTTATATCTGCATTTAATGTAAGCTGCCCTGAGCCCGCCTCGGCGGGGTATAAATTGAATAAATAAATAAATAAATATGTAACTTAGTGGCTCCCTAGAAATTCTGCCACAGCAATGAACGTGGAGCTTTATGTTTTCTACTGATTTACTGGGTGCTTTTTGTATAATGAGCAGTTCAATGTTTTTTATTGTTTGATTACTCCCTCTGCATCTCAACCACACATGTTAAATTGCCTCCAGTGAAAAGCACTCTGTGATTCGACACTGACTGATACAGACGTGAATGAATCAGTTAATAGCGCATTTTGTCATCACTTGATACTTAACCAGCAACTGAGTGATAGCTAGTGTGGTGTAGTGTTTACAGTGTTAGACCTCTGAGAGGCCCAGATTCAATGCCCTGCTCTGCCATGGAAGACTGCTGGCTAACCCTTGAGCCAACTAAAAACAAAAAAGGGAAAATAAATTTAACCTGAAACAAATTAAATTAATAATAATATAATTTGTACCTTTCTTGCTTGGTCAGAAAAGTTCTGTAGAGCCACCACTATTGGCTCCTGGCTCTACAGAACTTTTTTTTACTAAGCGAGAAAGGTACACAATTGAATCACCTCTATAGGAATAAGTGTACCTCACCATGGTTGTGAATTCTTTAGAATGAGATTTTTGATCAGTAGTCTTTCCCTTGGTCATAGACAATCATTATCAGAATAACTTCACCATGGTCAGTATAAGATTAATGAATGTTATGTTATTATGTCAGGAGCTATGTTGCAATGTTATTAGTTTGACTTTGAGGAAGGCCAATTGGGCCAAAATGCATCTGGTCAGGGTCAATATTTGTCACTTCTAGAGGATACGCTATATCATCAATGATAACTGAGGCTATTATAAGGGCCAATATCTGTTTTTAATCTATTATGAAATAAATATATGCATTTTTGTATATTTGTTAATATCTGTTAATTTAAACTGACCAACAGTTTGGCCTGGGTGTTTATGCTTTCTTAACCTTTTGGTACTTAACCCTTGACCAGTCATGCACATATTGCCTCACTTACCTCACAGGGTTGCTGTGAGGATAAAATGAACAAGGTGGGCTGCTTTGGGCTCCCAGTGAGCACAAAGGCAGGGTATAAATGAAGTAAATAAAATAAATAGATATGTGGTAAACAGACGGAGACAAATTTCTTGCTTCAAAAGAGTGATATTTCACACAGCAATGAACTCTGTAACAATAAAGCTCTTTATTGTTTATGCTTTAAAAAGCAGCATGTGGCTATGGTAAAACAGTCTGAAATCCTGCATTACTGTGAGCAAAATGTTAGGCTGAATTCTTTGCTCAAATGTTCAGTTTTTCAATAAACAAAATAAATACCTCGTACAAGAGCTAAGAAACCTGATGATATAGACCGTTCCAATTTAGTCTGGTCCACAAGTGCTAAATGCCTATAACATTCTATTCACTGGCACTAACCATTTAGTTGTTTTTATCTTTGGCATTTAATCTGTCATGTTTCCAAACCCTTACAATTTATTATTTTTTTCTTTCGTGTCACATTAAAAATACGTAGTGAATACGAACAAAATCAAGGTTCTTTGTATTGTACTGCTTGTTTCTAGAGAACTAACAATTTGAAGCAGATTTTAGAAACGAAGATTGTAGTTATAAGCCTAGGCGAGCAAGGTGCCAGAGACAAAGTGGTTTCATATTACACAGTGTGGCATTTCAAACAAAATCAAGCAAAGTTAGAAAACATCACAACTTGAGGGTCCTTGGGAACTGTGACTTTGTTTAGAGGCCATTTTAAAAAAAACAAAATGCTACAGCTGGGTATATCCAGAACCATTTGCCAGGTGACCAGATCTCTTAAGCTCTTGGATGGAGGAAAAAAAACAAACACATAGGCAGCTTGCAAATACAGTCTGCCTTGGAAAAATGCTATGGGACAACAAAATGTAGAACACAGGCTTTTAATGTTTTATATGCACTGGATACTCAACACAGCACTTGTCTTGGCACTTCTGGAAAAATGGCTTCCATGCTACAGCTGCTGCCTCTCTCTCTCACTCTCCCCTAAGACTTCTATTAAGTATACCACATTCCTTTCCTGCCTGCATTAACCATCCAGCCTTTTAAACTGATGATATAAGAACGGCTGCAGTTATGTTATACAATGGAAGATGTTCATGAATCTTACAATTTTATATGGTCTACGAACTTAAGATGTGCTTCCATTTTCCCAAGCAGAATTTATAAATAGACCCACTCTGAAAAGACACGACACATTGTGGATGATATACTGAGAAAGATTATGTACCATTCTGGTGTGTTGGGGGAAGAGAAATCCTCTCTCCCTCAACACAACCAGTACTTGATGAAATGGTTGGCAGAAGCTTCCAGACAAATAAGTATTTCTCTGCACAATGCGTAATTAACTTATGGAATTCACTGACACAAGACAATACCATGAGCCAAGTTGAGTTTAATATCACATTACCTCAATCAGCTTGTTGGCATGTTCACGGAAAACTTGTGCGTATTCCTTGACTTCTTTCTCATTCCCATTCTTGGCGGCTTCAATCAAAACTAGAAGTGGTACATTTGTTTCCAGAAAGGAATCTGAAACGTGGTCCATAACAGCTTTGCGGAGCTAAGAATAGATCACAATTTTAGTCTCATTGAAACAAACTGCCACTTTCTACCACTGCATTAATGATAATCAGCCTTTTATTTTGCCAGCATTCCATCTCCACCAGGCTGTGTCTCACTTTCTTCACCCTCCCATGCAATTGGTGCTGCTGGATGGTAACAATTTAAGATAGTTCCTTCAAAACACCATTATATACACTTCAGCCTCAAAAATTCATTTAATGGAGATGAATTATAAATCCAGTTTTCAACAACTGTCTCTCGGACAGGTTTTCGTACTGTCATGGGACAGAGGCCACACTACCTTAACTAATGGCCTTTTGTGGGGACACCATCCTTGCAAGCAGTGGTTTGGTAAAGTTCCTGATGGGAGCAGGGGAAGCTCCTCGAATTCCTATCCCCCCCAGGTAAGCTCAAATAGGTCACTGTCCCTCCCAGGCCTCTGTGACATCCCCCTCGTCCCAGGCTTCCTTGACAAAGTTCTGGCCTACTGCAAGGGGTTTTTTGCTTTCAGCTGCGACTGGCAGAACTAGAGAGACTACTGAAACGGAACAGGAGAAATGAAACTTTATGTAGCGTAGCAGTGTGCATTAGCATTTTATACATATTTAATACTATACCTGTCTACGGAGATCTCTTGTCTTTTTTGTCATTTTGTCTATGGCAGAATTTAAAGCATCACTTCTTTCCTTGCGGCCAGCCTAGAAAATCAGATAAAAGAAAGCTTACGTCAAATAAATTTTATGCTGCTTTTCCACTCAGTCTCCAACGTGGCCAAAAATTTACCGGCAATATTTGTATGCTGCACTTGCTGCAATGGTTTTGAGCTCTGGACACTTCAGCTTCCACCTTCTGCTTCAGGGACATCTCCACAGGCACAACAGGCCAGCACTGAAGTCAGCAGGGAACACAGCATACATGGGGGGCAAGTGTATGTACCACTAAGTAGCCCCTATGTAGGACTATCTGTAACCAGTGATCTAGTCATAGTCTCAGACTTGTACCACATATACTTAATCCCATTACCATTTGGAACCAACTCGGCTGGTGGGGAAGCAACATTTTCAGAAGGCTATACTGGATTCCACCCAAAACGCACAGCTTTCTTGTGCTTACGATGTTATAAATACAGGAGTGACAGATACGTAAAATCAGCTATATTACAGGACAATACATTCACACAGCTGAGACCTGGATAAGCATTTCTGTATCACCATAATTTTTCAGCTGTGCTATAGGATCCCCAGGGAACAACCTCCCCAGAGAGGTGCACCTGGCCTCCTTACTTTCTGTCTTTTGGAGGTAGCGGAAGATGGGTTTATTTAGGACAGCATTTGATTAAGTTACCAGCAGTTCTAGACTGTGGTTTTAAATTTTTGTTTTTATATAGTTTATGTATTATTCTGTTTTTTATGTATTTGATCAATACTGCAAGCAGCCCTGAGCTCCATAAGGAAGAAAGGGAGACAATAAATGTTATAAATAAACATAGTAGTTGAACCTGATTAACAACAGTTAAATATAACTTTAACCTAGCTTTAAAAGAATAAGGAATAACAGAGGTTTCTAAAATGAAGGACTAAAGAAAGGGTACCTTAAGTCACAGGCTTATTTCCTCTGATGCCAACCTTTGTACGTTAAAGTTGTAGATCCAAATAAATTTGAAATAGGGTCAGATTTTAACCAGGCCAACTGCAAAATGTGTTGTCACAAGTGAGGTATGGGACTCCACACTCAAGCCACCTGGCTTGACCAAATGAATCCTTAAGGTTGCAGTATTTCCACATCCCTTTTAAAAAGAGGTGGGCCCAACAATAATCAACTTAAACAGGAGCTGAGTCGAAATAGCCTCAGGCATGGTATATGACAGCACAGACACACAGACAAAGCATCAAGAGACCTGGGCTACTATTCAAGTTCAACCAGTGAGAGAAGAGAGCACAAGGATAAAGCTCAGAATTATGACCGCAAAATACTTTTTATACTCACACTAACAAAAAGTGTAACCAAATCCAATCTTTAAGAAGCCAAATAAGTGATATGAGATAAGAATGAATGACGTGTGGCATTTCGCACTGGTTTTCACACGTGTGACAACCTTCCTGTTGAGTAGCAGTTGTGTGTGTGGGGAGTGCATTCTAGGAACAGGACATTCAAAGCCTAAGGTGGCCCACCTGGGGAAGCAAAAACTACCTAGACAAAACAATAAAGGACGCTGTAGGGTCAATCCCACTCTTATGACAAGCATTCCAGTGCTGTTGAAGAATAAGGTTCTCTTGGACAAAACAGAATTCCTTGGAAGGGAGCCATCTTTTCCTTTTCTGTTGTGGTGAGGATGCTCTGGCAGTGGGGATGGACTCTCACAGTGGGGGATTCAATCAGCAGATGCCTTAGGGGTCTGTGTTGCACTGATGTGCCTGGGTTGTAGCTGGCAAGCATGCATGGAAGCAACCTGTGGTTACAGAACAGAGTAAATACCATAATGCTGGAAAATCTAGTCAAGAGATGCTAGCTAAGAAGCTGCAGAGTCTCAGTCTCAGTGTACGGGGAGAAATTTGTCGGGCAGTGGAAAATACTGTGGGGCACATGATGATGTATGAACAAAACTGGCTCCATTTGAAGTGTAACTAAGCCAGACTAGACACATCAAGTTGTTAAACAAATTTTGAAACTGAATTTTGGGGGGGAGGGAGTCAACAGGAATGAAGGATTTGCTGGTTTGGCATGATTAACTTCTTCAGGCTCTAGGTCCTCACAGGAGAGAAGATCAAAATGAGCAAAAAACCCCCTAATGACAGCCTGTTAAATGTGTCACAGGAAAATGAACACAAAAAGACATTTAAAGGTGAAAGTATGTGTTTGTATGCTACTGCTAACAGCCTCAAAGTCAAGATGGGGCATGTTAAGAGTGCCTGGTACTAAAGAAAATGCAAGAGGCATATAATAACCCGAAGGCACACATTTCTCTCTCCCCCTATGAAATCCACAGAAGAATGCAACACAGAGAGAGGTGGTGTAGCTCTATATGTAAATGACATCAGATTTAGAAAGCACAATGGAAAGTTATGCTTAGTATTATTACAGATAGAAATGCTAGCACTACATTTGTCATCCCCCCAGTATTCCACCCAAGTACTTGCCAGAGGCTGCGGTCACACGGAGAATAAGCCATGCTTCAGAGACGGAAGAGAGGCGGAGTTTCCTGGCATGATCACAGGGCAACATCTGGCAAGTGTAGAGCTCCCGTCGGTAACCCGTGGCTAAATGCCGAAAACGCGGAGTAAAAAACTAGTACCTTGGAGGTACTAGTTTCTGGAAACCGCGGGGCAAGGGCGGGCGTATGATCGCGTTTCCGGAGGTTGTTCAGGGAAAGTGTTCCAACCCTTTTATCTTTTGAGTTGCCCTTTTCTGCACTTTTTCCAAAGCTATAATATCCTTTTTAAGGTGTGGTGACCAGAATTGCACACAGTATTCCAAATGAGGTCTCACCATTGATTTATATAGGGGCATTATGATATTGGCTGATCTGTTTTCAATACCCTTCCTAATAATCCCCAGCATAGCATTGGCCTTCTTTATTGCAGTCACACACTGTCTCGACATTTTCAGTGAGTTATCTACTACAACTCCAAGATCTCTCTCTTGATCTGTCTCTGCCAGTTCAGACCCCATCAACGTGTATTTATAGTTAGGATTTTTGGCTCCAATGTGCATCACCTTGCACTTGGCCACATTCAACCCCATTTGCCATGTTGACGCCCACTCGCCCAACTTTGACAGATCCCTTTGGAGTGCCTCACAATCCTCACTGGTTTTCACCACCCTGAACAACTTCGTATCATCCGCAAATTTAGCCACTTCACTGCTCTATATGTAAATGACATCAGATTTAGAAAGCACAATGGAAAGTTATGCTTAGTATTATTACAGATAGAAATGCCAGCACTACATTTGTCGTCCCCCCAGTATTCCACCCAAGTACTTGCCAGAGTTGACCCTGCTTAGCTTCTGAGATATGACAAGATTGGGCTTGCCTGGGCTCTCCAGGCCAGGGCATGACTATTGTGTTTGGATTTTTCCTTGAACCAGTGATCCCAGCATTATACTTACTGCTCCTAACAATGACTTTGCCCTTCATTCACTCAGCATACTGGATACATAACTGATCCATCTGCACAAGAAGCTCAGCTACTGGATCCGCAGTATATGGGCATTGCTTCATTGCCACAGACATATTTTTAAAACTGTGCATTCTCAGTTTAAGACCTTGGAGAGAATTAATGAAATCCAACTGGCTAACAGGATGTTCTTGATGTGTAGACAAAATTTTAACACATAAAATGTACAGGCTCTACTGTGGAAAACAGATTCCCATAGCCAGGTAAGTCTTCACCAGCCAGAAGTTGCAACCATGAGGAAACCAACAAAAGGCAGTCTTACAGATATATTTGAGAGAGGCCACACTGAAATAGGGCATAGTTGACCCTGCCATAAACCCTAAAACAGCCTGCAGTGCAACAGACTGACTTGAAGGTTTCAGTGAGTTTTCTTGGGTTGTTAAAACCAGTTCAGATCCTATCGCCATATATTTTTTAATCTTGATGTGCGTTACTTGTCATTGCAATAAATTATGTTGAGAGGAATGAAGAGGACCCAGGCAGAAACAACTTTTCTACTGAACTTCTTGGGTTGTTAAAACCAGTTCAGATCCTATCGCCATATATTTTTTTATCTTGATGTGCGTTACTTGTCACTGCAATGAATTATGTTGAGAGGAATGAAGAGGACCCAGGCAGAAACAACTTTTCTACTGAACTACCGTTTGAATGCAGTGTGTCATTCTCTCTCAAGCCTTTACATTTCTGTGATAATTCTTTCCTTGATCCCTACCAATCTGGCTTTTGATCTACTCACTCTGCTGAAGCTGTTTCTACCCAGATTTCAAATTCGCTGTGTAAGATCTCAGAGCCTTTGATGCCTTCATGGTGGTCTCTTTACTCTGAGTTCTAAGGTGTTGTTTCTTTCTTGGTTCCGGTTTTATTATTCTTGTTC